ACATGCATATATACATACACACACACACACACACACACACACACACACACACAGAGGCATATACATACAGAGCGAGAGAAAGATACACAAACGTATATATATACACACACATATATAGATACACGCGCGCACACATATACACACGCGCGCGCGCACACATATACACATACATATATATACACACGCACATGTCTATATATATATATATAGACACGCACTTGTATGTGTGTATATATACACGCGTGTATGTGTGTATATGTGTATATATACACACACGCGTGTATATGTGTATATATGCACACACGCATATATACACACTCGCACGCACATATATATACACACACACACACACTCGCACATATATATACATATATATATAAACACACATACATACACACACACTTGCACACACATATTATATATATACATATATACACACACTCACAGGGGCATATATATACACACACACACACACACACACACACACGCATATATATAATATATACACACATACATACATGCGCATATACACACGGGCACATATATACACACGCACACAAATATACACACATATATATGCGTATGTATGTGTGTATATATACATACACCCCCCTGTGCGCGCACACCCACGTGCATATATACACACGTGCATATATACAGATACACACACATATATACACATATACACACATGCATATATACACAAGCAAATCTATTCACACACATACATACACATGTACACACATGCAAATACACACACATATACACACAGACGCATATATACACACACATGCATACACACACATATGCATATATATATTATACACACGCATTATATATATACACACTCATATATACTCATATACACACACGCATTTATACACACTTATACACACACACATATATACACACACACACATGCATATATAGACTTACATACATACACACGTGCATATATATACACACACACACATACACACTCACGCGCATATACACACACCCACGCATATACACACACCCATGCACATACATATATATGTACACACACACACATATATACACACACATACACATATAGACACATATACAGGCATACCTCATTTTACTGCGCTTCACTTCATTGCGCTTCGCAGATATTGCTTTTTTTTACAAATTGAAGGTTTGTGGCAACCCCCGGTCGAGCAAGTCTATCGGCACCATTCTTCCATCAGCGCTCAGATGATGGTTAGCATTTTTTAGCAATAAAGTATTTTTTAATTAAGGTATGTACATTGTTTTTTTAGACATAATGCTATTGCACACTTAATAGACTACAGTATAGTGTAAACATAACTTTTATATGCACTGGGAAACCAAAAAATTCGTGCGACTCGCTTTATTGCAATATTCACTTTATTGCGGTGGTCTGCAACCGAACCCGCAATATCTCCGAGGTATGCCTGTACACACACATATATACATACAGATATATATACATATACACAAATATTTAGACACACACATATGTACACACGCATACATATGTATGCGTACATACACATACAAGTTGTTCACACTCCCAAAGCACAGACTTTAAAAACAACTCCCAAAATCACAGGCATTGGCATTGTGGTGACGTTGGCGGGGCCAGCAAGGGCGGCGACCTGCCTGCCAGCCCCCGGAATACCCCCGTGACCCAGCCAGCCCCCACGAGCAGCCCCGGGCTCCCTGCCTGCGTGGCCCCTCCCCGGCGCACGTGTAAAGGGGGTACCCAGGAGCAATCAACTGCGGCGCAAAGCGCTGCGGAGCTCACTGCTGCACGTGCAGCCGCCGGCAGGGCTTTAATTGGACGCAGAGGGAGGAAGACAAGACACTACACTACACTACACTACACCGCCCCAGCCCGGCCCCGCGAGCGGCCGCTACTCACTGCCCATGATGGCGGCGGCAGCGGCGGGGGCAGGGCGCGCGATGCCTCGGGGCCCCTCCCCCCTCCGGCTCCTCCGGGCGCCGGCAGTCACGTGACCCGCAGCCAGGACCCCTGTCCCTGCGCGGGCAGATCGGGCAGTGCCGTGGACGCCTATGGCGTGCGTGCGTAGGAGGGGCGTGCAGGTGGGAATGGAAATATCCTCTCCCCCAGTCGTTCCAAGCTGAAGGGGAGCTTCAGTTTGAGCGGGGGAAAAAACAAACGTCCGCTTCGAGTTCTTTTATGGGCCGGCGAGTCAGGCGGCTGCCGGTCGACTAAAACGGGGGAGGCCCCCGTCCCTGCAGTGAAGACGGGGTCCTAGCTGGCGCCTGCTACTTAGCCGGAGCCAATGGAAGCGAAGGGGGCGGGCAGAGCATCTCGGGGAGGGCGACCATTGGTTGCGGGGAGGTGTTGGTGTTCCGCTGCCGCGGGACAGGCGCCACGTGGGGGAGTGTGTCCGGCTGGTGCGGGGGGGGGGATGAGGGAGCTGGGGGCGGGCTCCCTCCTGGGTGCCAGTTTTAGGCTGTGAACTCGGCGTGCACGACTTCCCCCGAAATTTTCCTGGCACCAGTTCTTGCCCAACGACAATAGCTCATGGCTCAGTCCTTAAACGAAGTCCCTGCAGAAATGGCACACCTCCCCAAGGGGTGAGAAACCAGTGAATCTGTGCAACTTTTGCTAGCTCTTAATGAGAGCTCAGCTTTATCACCCCTTCGTCCTTACTAGGTAGAGCATGCCAGGCTGACTGGGCTCACAGGGGTCCATTAAACCCTTTGTAGACCATGGGAGTTTGTGTAAGCATGTAAGATAAGAAGTTCCTTGCTGGGTCGTATCCGTAGTCCAGCGAGCCTGGTATTTGGTCTCCAATAGTAGAAGTGGATGCTATACAGGGAGAGCATCAACCCAGGTATCTCTAGAGTGATCCCTATTCAGTACCCTCTGTCATCCACCATTTATTGGGTTAATATACTCCATCCACATACCAGATATGAGACGAGAACCATTCAGGATGAAAAATAGTAGAAAAGTGTTTCCTTTCAATTGAGTCAGAATATAATAACATTCAGTGGGAAGGAGGAGGGAAGGGGAAGAAAGCACTGGAAATGGTGAATAAAAAGCACTCTGCTTTGTATAAAGACCTAGGCAAGGTTCTGGGTTTGAACTCCACATTGAGCTGCTTGTAAAATTTGTCAGTAGTTCGTCTCTCTGAGTTTCATCTCTTTGAACTGAATAGGAGGAAAGGGATTAGGGAGGATGAGGTTGAATCAAGGAGAAAAGATTGTTGTACTGGCGCAGTGTTAAATAGGGGAAAGAGATAAAAAGTGGAGGAGTATGGGGTAGTGTAACCGGGGTGAACTCTGAAGTGTCCCACCTCAAAAGGGGTTTGCAGGAATGTGATAGATTAGTACAAACTCCACAGTCAGTCACTTTGGCACTCAGCACCAGTTGTGTACCAGCACACTGCACAGAGCCGGAAACTCACTGCTCCAGCTGTATCTTACGTGCAAAACAGGCGTTGGTTTACCACATAGTAAACTAACTAGATAGCACCTAAAGAATGGGATATAAAAAGCAGTAGGTGTTGCTGCTGGTACCCACTACTACAAAAAATTGAATGAAATCTGTCATTGCAATACTCTAACCAGCCTCTGTAAGGAAGACTTGGAAGGGTAAGCATTGCTTTCAATTCATATGTTGCCTGCTGAAGTGACATGTAAGATTCTACAAGTGTTCACCATCTGGACATAGTTTAATACGAGCTCATGCTGGACCTAAATAGCTCAGATCTTATGTCCTTTTCTCAACCTCATTAGAGTCAAAGCACCCCTCAGCACATGACAACTCTTTGCTTTCACTTGTTTTTTGACTACATAAAAATATACGGCAATTCTTCTGTTGCAAAGAACTCGGAAGGACCACAACGGGTCACAGTGTTTTTAACACTATTGATTCCTAGTTGAAATATCCGGGATTCAGTTAGTCTTTGAGGTACACGTCTACCCTGCCTTCTGCTTGGGTTTATCTTGTGAATTGTGTGTAGATGTTTCCACACCTAACAATGCTAATATTGAGCAGCACACCACCCTTCAAAGCATCCCATGGCGCTCCAGGGTACTGTTGAGAATCCCTGGCTTAGCCTGACAACCAATGGAGAATTAATTCTAAACCAGTGTTAACAGGCTGAGAATGGTGAATGCAAAATTCAGAGTCCTATTTCCAGCATTGCCACTTATTTTTTGTGTGATAGTAGGTAGAATTACTTGGTCTCTCTGATTTTATAAAATGAGAGAATAACTTCCCTCGGAAATGTTGATGAAATTAACTTGTGAATTTAAGATGAAAAGCCATTTTATTTTGAAACCACTGGGGTTACTCATTTTTATTGGTTACCAGAGTACTCTATAGTCTGCTCCAATGTGACCAGAAATGTTTTAATAGAGGAAAAAAAGAGTTTAAGGGTGAAACCCTTGCCAGGGTCTCTTTAATATGTTCCTCTAACCCTCATATCTATCTCAGGCCCACTGAATGCTTTGGAGTGGCACCGAAGGTGTTGCACATGAGAAAAGAGTCTCATACAAATTTGAGGGACAGAGTTTGGCTTAATATCTTTTTATTCTGTAAATGTTTTGTGATTTGGGGGGTTCTCCTGCAGTTTTTCTGCAGAATCCACACAAGCTCGCTGATAGGTTTAGAATTTACTTTTAAGATTAGTTTGGACTTGCATCACAGTACTGAGGAGCTAGAGTATAAGTCTGTGGCAAAGTTTGTGCAAGACTTCAGTGAATTATAGAACCAAGTACAAAGGCCAAGAAGGGTGCTTATAACTGTATTCAGTGTTCCCAGTACCAGAGATCAAATAATTCAACTTACTTTTACCATCATACTGCTTACCTTTTTGCTGGTTACTTTTCCCCCTTCCAAAATCTGAGGCTAAGTTAAATTAGCATTCTGCAGCATTTTTTATTCTTCCAGACCTTCTTTTTCAGCAGTCCCTCACAGTGAAGGATGACTGTCTTCCATGATTGTCTATCTTATCCGTGGGTGTGAAGATGACTGATAAGGCCAATCCAGGATCAACAGACTCTGCTGCAACATGGACACATGTTTCCGTGCAGGGTAGGTGGCTCCAGATTCTCGATTCAGTCCATGACAAGCTGACCATATAGCAAGACTTTGCAGAGATCTGTTATCTCATCAATTGCCATAGCTACAGAATTCAGCACAGGCAATGACTTGGAAATGAAAATAAGGGATGACTAATGGCATAGCCTTATAGGAATACATGCCCAGAAGAATACCTCATCATATTGGTCTTGACACATGGATAGCAGGTGAAAACAAAGGTTGGTGAGCTAAGAAACAGTCATTTTGCTTCATTTGGTCAGAGAAAGCAACGGCGAATTCTTCAAAAATAGATAAGTGAAATTTTTGCGAAGAAGAGAAACTGGTTTGGCAGCCCTGGAGGTTGGAAGTCTTCAATTTATCCTGAGAACAACACCCCTCCCCTCCCCAGATGCACACAACAGTGTTGCCCCCCCCATGCTGCCCTGCCATTGTCCCTTAAAATTGACTTGGGGTATGGTCAAACTGCAGACTGCAGGGCAGCTTTAAATGAGCTAATTCAGGACCCAGAAGTTTTTTATTTGCAGAAATACATAGTGCAATGTGGGGAAATTAATTCCTGACAATAATTATATTCAAATTAAAGCCCAGAAAAGTTCAATTTCAAGCAATGACAATGACAGCAACAGTCAAGCGGATCATTGTTGGTTAAATACATTAATGTGCTGGATAGCCAAATCTATCAAAACATTTTGCATTTCAAACTTGTTTTTAAACCAAGGACACATTAACTGTAGTTAGTGAATAGACAAGTTGTTTCTCGTTACCAGGGGCAAGATTTTCTAGGGTAGGATCATATGAAAAAAGGGCTGGAGGGAACCTTGCAAGGTCACTTAGTCCAACCCTCTGCTCAAGGCAGGATCATCCCTAAGTAAACCATCCCAGCCACATCTGTCTAACTTGCTCTTGAAAACTCCCAAGGGTGCAGATTCCACAACTTCTCTGGTTAGCCTGTTCCCATGCCTTCATCATCTGAAACTTCCTCCTCATCTCCAACCTAAATTTCCCCTGCTGAAGTCTGAGGCCATTGCTTCATAGTCCTGTCCCCTTTGGCCACAGAGAAAAAACTATCTCCATCCTCTCTGTAATTGCCCTTCAGGTATTTGAAGACTTATCAACCCCCCGCCCCCGCTCCAGCCAAAATGACCCTAGCTGTTTCAGCCTTTCCTTAGGAGCTAGGTAGTTATGTCCAGACTGAAAAGAGGACGTAGGGATCTCAGATAGGATGGAGGCAGACTTGAGAGTTCCTAAGGGCAAAATTGTGATCCCCAAAATCCCTGACTCGGCTCCCTAAACTTGCAGGCATCTAAAATTTCTGAGCATCTCCATTCTGAACTGAAAGTCAGACTTTCTACTAGGACTTTCTACTTCTGCACGTGCCCAGAAATACTCTGGCCTGAGCAGTCAATGTCTGTTTCCCACAATGTCCACACCTGGAGTCCAGAAACTAGACAGAGTCCCAAGTCTTCTAAGAAATCACTCCCGTGGGCATTATCCAAGCATGCCAACATACGCTGACAGAACCAGAACCCCTCATAACATGGAGTTGTATTGGCTTCTTTTCTATACTACAGTTGCTGAAGAAGGAGCACAAGCCTAACTTTTATAATAGTTTGGTTTCTAGAATAGTCACCTTGGAAGTGAGAAACCAGGGTTCAAGTTCCTCCTCCAGGAATGAAAAGATTGCAGATAAAATAGTGCAGTGCAAGGCAGTATAATGCATCTATAAAGCCTGGATAGTCTTCTGATATTAAAGATGTTTCCCCCTAAGGAAATGTGTATGAAAATCACCCAAGTAACTTTTGATTTCAGTGGGATGAGGTTACCAGTTCTTGTTGGCTCTGGCTTATGTGGTGGTGATCACAACATGAAAACAAGATAGTTTGATTTGGCTGAAAGGAACAAGCTTGACCATTGTGCCTGGAGCCAGCT